TTCAGTATGTGTTTCAGTGTGTAATGTTTTCATGTTGTACCAATAAATATACACAACTTTTATATGTCAGTCATCTCAGTAAGTCTTAATAATTTATCTAAATATTCTTCAAATAGTGTATCATGGACAGTACATAGTGAATTCTTTTTTTTTTTTTTGAGATAGTGTTTCTCATATAACAGTTCTGACCATCCTGGAATTCACTATGTAGACTAGACTAGAACTTTCAGATAGCCTTCTGCCTTTGTCTCCCAAGTGCTGGGATTAAAGATGTGTACCATCGTCACCCACCCATAGTGAATTCTTAAAGAAAATGGAAACAAACTAAATTTAAATAGCATATGAGCATGTACCTACTGGACAAGTCTATCATCAACAGTCTTGAGCCATTCTGATTTGATGTACCTTAGTATGGTACAGTGGGAATAGCATTTTAGCCATGTAATCTTCCATTTAGCAGTCTAAAATTCTTGTTATGTCACAGAAAAAATATAGACCTTAATATACACTATATCTTAACAGTAGTTCTCCAATGTGTTTATGTTTCCCAGTGGTTAAGAAGGGTGCTAGTAGCTTTTAAAAACCTGGAGACCAAATTGAATAAAAACACTAATGTCATTAAAGGAATTTTCTTACACATTTCTGTGGCAACTGCTATGTGATTTTTTAAAAAATTTTCCCAGTAAACTGAATATGTAATTTGGTACATAGATCTAGCTCTCCATCATGAAAAGTACTTCACATTAAAACAGTGCATGAAGTCAGTTTTATCTCACAATTATTTGGCATGATTTACCTTTGACTCTAAAGTTATTTGTGAGAATCACAAAGTTCTACTGGCTGTACTAGACAAAGACTTAGAGAGAACAGCAGCTGGATGTTGCTTTTGACTTTTGAAATTGTTAATGATGAATATCCGATTATAACAGGACTATTACTGATGCTCATGGGGTCTGCTATGCAATTACACAGATTCTGTCTTTAGGGTATTTTCTAGCATACCATGAGGAAGAGGAAAATACAAATAAAATATCATATACATGTATAAAGAATAATACAGTAAAAACTTGCAGGTTCCTAGGATAGCAGAAATGAGGGCCCTCAAGTGAAAAGTCAGAGGAATGGCATTGCATGATGCAACTTTAAACAAAACTTCTTTTAGTAAGCATTTCAGACATTGATGATGTAGCCCCATAGGAAAATGTTTGCCTAAGACAAAAGCCTCCTTGCTTAGACTCTAAGACTCTTATCTAAACTGTTCTGTCTCCAGTTTCTGGATCTTTATTCAGAGTTCTCTGGAAGTGGGTAGCCCACAGGCAAGGCTGAGTGAGGCATACAGAATGCAGAGCAGGAAAGACAATGGGGCTCACAGAATCACATGCCCATTCAGCTGTTTTCAGTGGAACACTCTGGTTGCTTCTGCACTTCTCTGATCTGCATCAGTTATAGGCATAATCTGCTTTAGAGAAGATAAAGTATTTCTCTGGGGACAGACATTTCTCTTTTATTTTTCCCCTCCCCCCTTTCTGTCTCTCATCAGAAAGCAAGAAGCCTTCTAAGGAATAATAGTAAAGTGTAATGTGATAAAATATAGTAAGGTGAAACAAAAACTAACATGTCAGATTTGGACAGAAGATATAAAAAAAGGAAAAGTGTCCAAGAGAAGGCACAAGAGTCGGAGACCCACTTGCTCACACACTCAGGAATCCCATAAAAACACTAATAACGCATATCCAGAGCACCTGGTGAAGACACATGCAGGCCTCATGCTCGCTGCTGCGGGCAAAGTGAGTTCATAGGAGTTTTTATCGTGCTGATTTAGAAAGCCTTTTCTGGGCATCCTTCTTCCCACCTGGTTCTTTCCCCTCCTCTTCTAGAAGGTTTTGTGAGCCAAAAGAACTCCCATTCATGGGTGAGTGATCCAAAGTCTCTTACTCTCTGCATACTGTCTTGTGGTGGGTATTTGTTCTTATCTGCTGCAAGGGGAAGCTTCTCTGATAATGGCTGAGCAAGGCACTGGTCTATGAGTACAGAAGAATGTCATTAGGAGTCACTTTATCACCATATTTTTTTATTGTCTTAGAATACAAGTACTTGGTCCTTGGGCTATCTACTCTCAGGTTCTTGGTTACCTAGCAGTATCCAGGATGCATTAAGTTAAATCAAATATTTGTTGGTTATTCCCACAAGGTTTATATCATCATTGTGTTCATACACCTTACAACCTTACAGGCAAGACACCACTGTTGATCAAGGGTTTTTGGCTAGCTTGGTGTTTGCTTATTTTCTGGTAGAGTGCCAAAGTACCTTCTTGTACCATAGGCACTAACTTGTAGTGGTGAAGGTTTTATGTATGCACCAGCTTTACTGTTACATGTTCAATGAATAAGTTGTGTAAGTGTTGTCTTCAGCAATGGTGCCTCACAGTTTGTGGAAAGCAACCATAGTCTTGGTAACATCCTGGGTGGTTAGGGGATTCCCATGGGACTCTCTTAGCCAGCAACACAATTAGATACAACCTAATCCTGGTACTAGAATCTTCATTTGGTGAGGAGAGATGCCCAGTTGGGGTTCTGTCATCCATTATTTGGTTATTTCAGTTATATTACCTCTATATGTTTTAAGAAGCTTCTACATTGTTTGGTTTCTATACTACCCCCTTAACAAATGGTGCTGGCATAAATGGATGCTGACATCTAAAAGACAACAGATCGTTCCATATCTATCACCATGCACAAAACTTAAGTCCAAATGGATCGAAGACCTCAACATCAATCCAGCCACACTGACTCTCTTAGAGGAGAAAATGGGAAGTACCCTTGAACAAATTGGTACAGGAGACCGCTTCCTGAACATAACAACAGTAACACAGACACTGAGATCAACAATTAATAAATGTGACCTTCTGAAACTGAGGAGCTTCTGCAGGGCAAAGGACATAGTCAAAAAGACAAAATGACAACCCACCGAATGAGAAAAGATATTCACAAACCCCATTTCTTACAGAGGGCTGATCTCCAAAATTTACAAAAAACTCAAGAAGCAAGTCTCCAGAACACCAAAGGATCCAATTAGTAAATGGGGTACAGAATTAAACAGAGAATTCTCAATAGAGGAGTCCAAAATGGCCAAGAGACACTTGAGAAAGTGCTCAACATCTTTAGCCTTTAGGGGAATGCAAATCAAAACAACTCTGAGATACTGTCTCACTCACATCAGAATGGCTAAAATCAAAAACACTAATTAAAATTTATGTGCAGTGGTTAAAAATGTTTTTCCCATTGTGTAGGCTGCCTCTTTATGAAATTGATGGTTTCCCTTACAGTACAGAAACTTTTCAGTTGCATGAAGTCCCATTTAGATGGCTTTAGTGCAGACCCTCTCAAAAGAGGTAATAAGTCATTTCCCTTATATTTGCCTCCTTTGGTATCTAGAATTCCCCCAAAACAGCAAATTCATGGAGGTCAGATCACATCCCAGATGAAGCTACAGCATAAAAATAAATAAATAAAAATATTCTTCAGATATAAATATATGTAAATAGAGAAATAAGTGGGAACCAAGAATAAAATATATAAATAAATATGATAATACTACAAGGAGCATATCAATGTTTAGTTTTCAGGTCATATTTTACTGTTGATTAATGTCTAAATGTTAATGATATTTTTTTAATCTGTACCTTAACCAGAAAAATAAGAATTTAAAGAAATTTAAAGGTCTTTCTGTGAACAAATTGATTTGATATTTTTCTTTCATAAATTTGCATTCTCATTCCAGTAATGTGAGCTTACATTGAAATAAAGACATTTAGGTCACTAATGGAGATTCAGTGACCTTTGGAAAATTAATACAAAACACTGATAATGCATTTGATGAAAAAATCACTTGCAAACTAGTATGCATGCTTTTTGATTATTTTGAATATGTAGTATTTATTCTATATTAGACACTAACTTTGAAATATTATCAGTAAAAAAAACCCTGCGAGATATTTTGAGTCTCAATTTAGGTTATAAAACAAGAAATCAGGGTCTGTAGAAATTATTGGTCTCTAAAAAATGTTACCCTGACTAAAATGAAAATAAAAAAGTATGGAGATAGCTGATAGTACGTAGAGATGAGTTGACTAGTATTCATCCCATGTTCAGAGTGAGGATTTTGTCTTGAATGTGAAAGAGTATGGAAAAGGGAATAGGAGTCTTTCTGTCTGGTGGATCAGCGTGACCCTCAGAGATGCACACATTTAAATATGATGTACTGCTTACTGAATTACATCATTTGGCCCTTTAATGTATTATGATGATTACTCTTTCTAAACTCTGACTCTATACCAGTATTTCTAGAGAGAAGATATGCCCAAAATATTCTCAAATAACTTATGAAATGTTGTACAAATAAGTTGCCTATTTCTTTACACATTTCTTTACAGTCTATCCCTCTTTTAAACTACAACTGACTACTGAGTCTTTAAGAATTTTGGCAGGTGTCAATATAACACATAGCATGCTCACATGATATGAAACATAGGTAGACTGACACACTAAAAGAAGATAACAAGAGAAGTTGATTCTAACCATAGGGTTACTTGAGAAATTCAGTCTGGCACGCAGGAAGGACTCTGATGCCAAAGAATTGTTTCAAGTGTAACTAGAATTTGGGTTGAGCCAGAAAGGATTTAACACAGTTTGTTAACACTTAGAGTATGGGTCTTACACTAGAGAATCGATTTCTGAAGAATGAATGGCCGAGTAAGCACAAACTATGCTAGACCAATTTTCCCAGAGGATCACTTATGATTTGTTAAACATGTTAGGTCGTGATGAATTTATTATGTTTGGCTACAGAAAGAAAATCATCCTTCTGGACCTAAAAGCAATAATTCATTCCCAAAACATCGAGGCCTCCAGCCAAACTATATCCTGCGAGGCTTTGATCCAGCATCAGCTGGTGACTGTAGATAAGTCTAGTCTGGGTTGCTTGACTTCTGCTGCAAAATCCACATATTTTAGTTGCTGATAGACAACACAGTCATGTTTTGAAGCTATCAAACGTTTGTCAAAAATACATTGGCTGAAAGAAACAAGATTGACTTTTATAACTTTTTGATATTTCAGGAAGCAAATATAGTAAAGATAATTAAATTTTACATGCCCACAATTTTAACTCTCCCCCACACTCTGTCCCCACAGGAAGATACTAAATGAAGTTTTGTTCACTTGTGTTTATTCTTCCAAAAGACAGAACTGAATGTGAAATATCTTGTAGTTTTGATGACAGAAGGTGCAGAAGGAAGAAATATCAGCCCTTTATTTCTGTATTAGACTGAAACCAATAGGCATGGGGTATCATGCTATGCTTAACTAAATCTCAGCCAGGGTTACTGATAGACTCCATGAATTATATCATACTACTTTTTCCCTCTTTTCCAATAGAACTTTGGTACAATATTTTTGTGATGATTTTATAAGTGATAATTTTAATTCTATAAATCATAAGCTTATCTTTCCAAGTATAAACGCACTATCAGTAACAGAAACACAGGTTCAGTCCCTGTGGAAGGATACTATTTCAGCCCAGACATACCGATGAGGGCCTAGGCCTTCCCCCAAGTGGTGTGACAGACTTTGATGATCCCCCATGGTCTCACTGTCCTTGGGGAGTGGGTGGGTGATGCATTCGGGGGCAGTGAAGGGCATGGGAGAATGTGGGGGCAGAGGGGAACTGGGATGGGATTGATATGTAAAATAAGATTAGTTTTAAATTAAAAAATAGAAACACAGGTTCATGTACCTGTGATTCCAAAATTCTAGAAGTGAGGCAGGAGAAGTACTAACTGGAGGCAGGTAAGAGGTAAATACCTACACCATCTCCCAAAAATGAGAAATTACATAAAATAAATATCACTATAATGCTTGGATGTAAATTGAATTATAAGAAAAATTGAGACTGTCCTGTTTACCGTGTCAGCTTCTTCTATGTCTCCTGTTGATCCATGTACAAACAACATCAGTTGTCTTGCCATCTGTTCTTACTTTCTAGAAGTTTTGAGAAAAGAAATTGTGATAAAATGTTAGAATTTAGAAAACATACATTCTTTATGAAAAAGCTGAAAAGATCCTTGGTATACTTCCACTTCAATTTGGTCAATGTGGCAAAACATTAGTACTTCAGGTTCCAGATTTGGAACTTTTTTCTCTTTCTACTTATACTATAATGTTTTAAAATTTATTTTTTATATGTCAATTATAGGCTTAAATCATTTTTAACCACAATGTTTGGCATATTTTTATAACCAAAGCTTTCCATGAAAATGTGAGAATTTTTGTATTTTAGAGTTCAGAAATAAGGCTCATGTGTCTTAGAGTATTCTAAAATAACAGCAAATCTCTTCATTCAACATTCTATAGGGTAACATCTACCTAGTTCAGTTATCACATACTACCATTGGGCTGTCCAATCTAGTTCCATTCAACTTTGCCCATTCAGATAAACGTACGTGGACATAAACACACATGCACAAACACAACTGCACTTAATGTGGTCTTAGACTTATTATGTAAGTATGCTTTACTAAAATATACATTTTCTTCCAAATACTTAAATCTTATGAATTGTTTCAAAGAAATTGTTTTTAAGCAGATACTTATTTCTAAATAAATATTTTCTACATCATTTTTAATTCACCCAGTTATTAGAATATTTAACAACAATTTTTAAAGTTTTAAATTTTATTAATATGCATAGGTGTTTTGCTTTTACTCCTTTTTGTGGCTCCCATGTGACTCTTGAGGACAGATGATGGTGTTAGAAAGCATGGACCAAATTGTTATAACCAGTTTTGATCCTTCATGTGAGTGCTGGAGTTAGATCCTTGCCTACTGAAAGATCAGAAAATACTTGACTTCTGAGCATATTCTGCAGTCCATAAATACATTTTTTTCGATTGAGAATCAGAAAACCAAAAGGGAGATAGAATGTTTGCATCCAAGAAACTTAAATTTTAGACAATGTTCTGATATAATTAAGATCAATGTTTTATCTACATAGATGTATTATCACAGAGTGAACTTGTGTTTAAGGATCGCAGTGATAGGTATCACAGTGAATTTCAATCACTAGAAAAATGGTTTCCAGATTCCCTACTTCCTTTCAGTACCTTAGTTGTTTATTCCATTTTTTTCTATCTAGATTGACTAAGTTAGCAATCATATTCACTGGGGAATTTAAGATGCTGGTCTCTGTTATTTTTACCTACGTGGTTTCAATGTGATACTTGCCCCACAGGTTCCTGTGTTTGAATACCTGCTCCCACACTAGAGGACATGTTTGAGGATGTTGTGCAACCTGAATCAGATGGAGTTTGGTGAGAATTGTTAGGTCTTAGGGTAGGTACATTGTTCTATCCTTTCAGTTAGCTGTTGACCCATGAAGAGGTGAACAAGGTCCTGCCATTATGTCTTCCCAACACTGAGGGAGTGAAGCCCTGAGACAAATGAGCCCTCTTTACCTGAAGCTGCATCTGTAGGATGTAGGGTTGTCTGTCATAACAAGGAGATTAGTAATTGATGCATTCAGTGACTCCAACTTTTCAAGTAAAGTGTGGTGATGTGGGAACTACTCAGGTTACTTTACTATTTAGATTATTACCATAAAAACTTAATTTTAAGTGGAGTTTGACTACACTGAGCAAAAATCTCCTGGTGAAGACTTGTTTGAACAAAATTAGTAACAATGCTATAATTGTTTATGCCACTGACCACTCATCATCATGCTGAGTTGTATAGACTTTTTGCTACTATGTAAGAGAATAATTGCTACCATCCTTACTTTACAAATAATACAATTTCAGTTTAGATAACATAAGTGAGTTTCCTGTCTTACAAGCAGTAAAAGACATAATTGGGAATTCACATCTCATTTGATGCAAAATGTCTCTTGCTTATTTTCTTGTGTAAGTGTGTTCAGCAAAGATGGGAAAATGGAAGAAGTTAGTATATGCTTATCTCATTTCAGTAATAGGAATGCTAGCATAAGGGAGCAGGTACATTGAACTGATATCTAAGGTCAATATGAAGTTATGTTTAGTATATGTTTTAGAAAGCTGTTAAATCTGGACTATATTCTGGGACTGGGGAAGAGGTGTCATAGTAATACAAACAGTGAAAAATAGAGTGAAGAATCTTAGTGAACTAAATCACAGTTTTCTGTTTCTTTCACTTCTCTATCTCTGGCAAAGTAGTCTAGTTTAGCAACTTGTATTGCCAGACTATCTTTGGACTACCAGTCCATAAATAATGACTCAGAAACTTATTATTAATTATGAAAGCTTGGTATTAGCTGAGGCGTTCACCAACCAGTTCCTACAAATTAATTAACACATTTAAAAAATATACATTTCTGCCACATGGTTGTGATTAGCTCTTCTTTGTTCAGCACATCTGATTTGCTTCAAATCTGCTGGAAAAACCACAAGCCTAGTTTCTTTCTTTTCTTAGAAGTCCTGCCTATTCTCTCCTGCCTATGTATTGGCCATTTAACTCTTTATTGAACCAACCAGAAGGTGCCTTAGGCAGAGACACATCTTAGCAGTATAAACAGATTTTCTGCAACAGTCTAGGTTTACATAGGACTAGGTATCAGAAGATGCAAAGTGAGTGTTGTCAGTCAAAATAATTCTTTTGGGTGGTAATAGTGTCAGATGATAATGACTGCACAAGTCAATGTGAAATTATGACCTTTAATGGGATGAATGTTATAGTGGGCAAATTATATCTCAATAAAGCTATAAAAAATGAAAAGGAAGCAAATCTAAATGTTTTAAGTCAATGGAATTGAAGTGAAAAATTAAATTCCACCTGCTGGTGAGAGAATTTGTCTTTCCAAAAGCTGCTTAAGCTCATGACTCTGGGGAGAGCATAATTAACGTTAATGGAGAAACCTTCTAGAAAATGCCACTGCAATTTTTCCAAAAGCTCTTCTGTGCTTCTCCACTATCAAATGGTCTTGAAATAATTGTCTCAAAATATAACTGTAATCTTCTTCCATGTAATTTTCTCTTGGCATAACAGATAATGAAGAGAAAAGGGCTCACAATGAAATTTTCAGTGTAATTACAGTTGGCTTGCATTATGGATTTGGGTTTTCTGATTGACTCTTTTTACTACTAATTAATTGTTTTCATAAATTTCCCAAAAGGAACTTTTATAATCCTTTTCTCCATTCTATCCACACCATGTTGTTAATTTTATGTGGAAAGTAAAAGGTGAATTCTCTCCCATCATGAATCTTATGAAATAGAAAATGAAGGCATAAAATTTATAAACATTTAGAAAACCAATGGATCGATGTAACTTTTGGTGCCTGGTTTGATGCTTTGAAATATAAATTTACTTCCTTAGTTATGTGCTTCTTCTAAATATTGATTTTAATGCACAGGTGTAAACACATGTAGCTAGAAAATTCATTAAATTTTTGTGAGTTTGTGCAAAATAAAACCTGGTGGAATAATTTATGATTCATGCCCAAGGAATAAAACAGTCATAAAATTTGTTCCTCAAATATCTCCTTAAGAAACACTAGTTTCTTTTATTTGTTAGGGAGCCCAGCTTCAATGATTAAAAAAATAGGTTAAGATAACTATTCTAAACATCAGTGTTAATTGGTGTGTACTTAGGCAGAAATGCATAGTGTTTAGCCTGGAGAAGACAACTGGATTTGAAGATAATTTCTTCCTTCCAAAATGAGCTCTGAGCACTCAGATTTTGTCACTTCAGTACCACCATTTTTCTCACATGTAAAATAATGACAGTAATTCTAACAAAGTTTGATTGCAATTTGTTAATAAAAAGCTACTTGATTACCAATAATCAAATCAAAAACAACAAAACAACAACAAAAACATGTGTGGCAGCAGTAGCTTATACCTTTAAATCAGCACATGTAGGAAGAAGCAGGTCTAACTTTCTGAGTTCACGGTCAGCCTGTTCTACAGAGTGAGTTCTAGTACAACCAGTGCTACAGAAAGAAACCTTGTCTGCAGAAAAAATAAACAAACAACAGCAACACTCAAAACCAATAACAACAACCCAAACAAAAGAAAAACATGTAATTTCATTAGCTCTTTAAGTGTGTGTGTACAATATTTTCTGCTTTTGCTATCATTTCCATTGATGGTGACAAGCTGTTGGGAAAATGTGAAATTAAACCTTTTTCCTGCTCTATTGGAATACAATGTGTTTCTTAGTTCATGTTCTAAATGAGTTTTAGTTCAAACCAGCAGGTTTATGGAAAATACGCTCTTAACAATATCTGAAGTGCTCCTAAGGTGCTATGATTTATTGTGGCCAACAATGGTCCTACAGCGGTATTCATAGTCTTCATCCTTGCAGATCTGGTCACGGACCTCTAATTTCTTATATGCAGTTTCCTCAAAGTGATTTTGTGCTTACTCTTTATAAACTTCAAGGAGATTGACAACAGTGGTAGCCTCTTCCTTCAAACTTAGGGACCATTCTGCAACGAATGCTGGGCTGGTGCTGGAGGCTCATTGAAGACAGAACTAATAAACCATGTCATTAAACCATCTTCTACGTCAGAGCTGTTCCTATGACATTGAGCCCTATTTATACTGACAGGAGAGCTCTAGTTCTGGGGTTCCTGTGACAAAATGGGGAGCTTGTTTGCAAGCTCTGATTAAATCACCAAATCTATGAATAAAGATGAATGTCAGTCTAAGCAACTGCCTTTTGGAGCTGCTTAATATAAAACATAATTAAAACTTTACTTAGTTTTGGATAACTAAAAGTCCTATTTACAAAACAATCCGTGCCTTTGGAGTTTAAATACTTTGACGGGGAGTCAGCTTTCCACTCTATTTAGAACCCATAAATACTTCTATTAAAGCCTTTGCAAACTTTCATTGCAATTGTCTACCAACAGCTATTTTTGTTGCTTAACTTGGATCGTTCTATGGAGTTGTGTTTATTCAGATGCCAAATTCTTTCATATTTCAACCAATTATGAAAGATTTCATAAT